GGTGATGAGACATGGCTCTATCACTATGATCCATCAGCTAAAAATCAGTCTTTCATGACATTCAGACACAGTTTTGCAAGACCCCCCTCAGAAGGGGGGCCTTTGTAAATTTTGATCCCTTGTGCTAGGCAAAGAATTATGCAAAAATTCCCAGGAACTTCCTCTTATAGAAAAAAAAGGGAACAAAGTGTCAGCTTCTGGGCTTATGACAAATATGCCTTTCGTGTTACTTTCAGAACAACGTATGAAAGGGAACCATATGAGAACAACAAACATGGTTGATTGGAGATATAATAGCTATATGATTGACTAAGGAAAGCTCCAAATGGGCCTGTCCATACCAAGTGTTTTAGAGAGACCAAAAATGAAGTTTCATCAAATTTTTTTCAAATTGGCATCGGGAGGGATCTAGATGTCTACAGGGCGTTCCAGAAGTCGCACACCATATGTAATTTTTTTTAACCATATGGAATATACTTTTTCCTTTGTTACAGATTGATTAATTGTGGCACTAACTAAAGACGAGTGGGTGGAGATTATTCTGTTTTGTCTTGTTTGCAAATAATTGGAAGGTAACAAGAAGATTTAATGAGTCACATCCTGACCAAGAATCAATATCCCACACATCTGTAAGCAGATTGTTACACAAGTTCAAGGTTCAGGTCACCAGACCTCTCTCCCTTAGACTTTTACTTGTGGGGACATGTTAAAGCGATGGTTTACTCAGCACATTTGTGATGTCAATCATCTCAAAAAACGAGTTATGAATACATGCCAATCAATCCCTCCAGAAGTGTTAGAAGATGTTCAAACTTCATGGAAAAACAGGATTGAACTCTGCATTATTCAAGACAGACAACATATCGAACCTATACTGTAATTAAATGTGATTAAAACATTAGCTAAAACCAATTTGTCTTATAGTCTTTGATGTGCAACTTCTGGAACACCCTGTATTTAGACAATGAAAATGTCTAAAAATCTTGTGATTTAGATTATTTTATTAACACACCATATGGTGCCAATTGCTAAGCCAAAAACTTGGATTTTGCAATTTGACTTCAAACAACCTGAGTTTAAATCAAAGATGGAATTTACCTTGTTCAAGTTCATGAAGGGAATGGCTTCATACCTTTTTATTTCTCTCTAAATTTTTCTAATTTCCTGAATCTTCTGTGGCCTTCTACGTCTTCAACCAAAACATTTTGCATTTGACACAAAAATATGAAGCTATTTCTCTGTAGGTATGAGCTATTGTATATGATTTCCCTGTGTTTGCTTCAGTGGAAAGGTGTCAGATGTGACCTGTTGGTTCTGTCAGGTCTGACTCTTATCTCAGGTCCACTTTACTAAGTCAATGTTAATATTAATGCAAGATAAAATGGAAGGTGATAATTGCAATGGTACTCTAATTTGCATTCTTCTGGGTGCACCTAATTGATATTTCTTTCAAATGAAGACATTTAATGCTAAGGATGGCCAAAAAAGGTAACAAAGGAAAAATGGGAGACGCCAATGGTATGATTTGATGGATTTCTTTTCACACCCCCCCCCCTTGAAGGAGAAGGAGACAAAATAAATAAAGCATCTTATTTTCCTCTACTAACCAGCCTAATTTGAGACTTGCATGCTAAAACCTCTCATTTCGTGTGATACTGGTGATATACATGCTATGGTCGCACATTCGGCACTCCATTATTTAGGATAATGATTAATTCATTTTGACATCATTGGCAAACTAACAAAATGAGATCTTTAGCTTCATAAAATGGACGCACCTTGAGGTACATCTACATCGTATCATAGCCATCTATACCCACTTGAATTCTTTAGGGTAGACATTTCTTGGAAATGTGCAGCATGGAAATGTTTTTGCCATCTTGAAATGGAGCTTAAAAAACAGGAATTTCCTTGGAATAATCTTTTCTAGATAACCCTAACAGAATTTCAGTTTTCTTTGTCTGCCTCCTGACTGTAATAATAATTTTCATGAAAGGGTCTCTCCCCAAAGTATACCCCTAAAGGATATATCTAGAAAAATAGTTATTTTCTAAATATGCATTTGTGCAAGTATCTTTCTGCTCAAGTTTCAGTTTCTATCTCTCAGTTTTGTCAGAGTGAAAATTTTTGGGAATGCATGTGTTTAAAAAGAATACAGCTTCATTTGGGGTGGTACCTTAAAAATAGAGTAATGAAATCTACAGTATGCGGCGAAAAAATGCCTACACTTATGTCCAGATTTATAACTTCATCCAGAAGTGGAACTGGGCCGCAATAATTTTTTCTTTGAGATTTTGAGATTTGTTTGCATTTAGTCGCAATGGATTCCAAAAGAGAGGCCATCGTTAATTTGTCTCAAGCTGGGAAGACCCCCACCCAGATTGCCAAGGCCCTGAACATCCACAGGGTTACTGTGTACAAGGTCCTCAACAAGTTTAAGGCCACAGGCAGTGTCAAGAGGAAGCCTGGAAGTGGAAGGCCATGTTCAGCAAGGACTCCGGCGATGATCAGAGCGATAAAAGGAAAAATCCAGCGCAACCCCATCCGGTCCATGAGGAGGATGGCCAAGGAAACAAACGTGAGCGAGAGGACAGTCAGGAGGATTGTCAAAGAGGATTTGGGAGCCAAGTCAAGGGCCAGGGGTAAGAGGCAGCTCTTAAATGAGACCTCCAAGGCTAAGAGAGTAGCAAGAAGCCAGAAGCTCCTCCAGATCTTCAAAAAGAGAAAACCAGTGATTTTCTTCACAGATGAGAAACTCTTTTGCATCGACCGTGCCTCCAACAGCCGCCATGACCGCTACATCAGCAATCAGAGGCCTGAGGATGTACCTGAGCACATCAGGTTCACCTTCAAGACCAAGCATCCGGCCTCTGTGATGGTCTTTGGGCTTGTGGCCTCAGATGGTAGGAAAATGCCCCCGGTCTTCATTGAACAGGGCCTCAAGGTTGACACTAAAGTGTACATTGACATCCTGGAAAAGTCTGTCAAACCTTGGATCAAGTCCAACTACCCTCCGGGCACCAACTATATCTTCCAGCAGGACGGGGCCCCTGCCCACACTGCGAAGAAGACCCAGAAGTGGCTGGAGGACAACTTTGTGTCCTTCTGGGACAAGGATATGTGGCCCCCCAGCTCCCCAGATCTTAATCCCCTGGACTACAGCGTGTGGGCGTTTGTAGAGGAGGCTGCCTGCAACAAACCCCACTCATCTGTGGCAGCCCTGAAGTCCTCCATCACGAAGGCATGGTCCAACATGAAGGAGGACTACATCATCAAGACGTGTTCAGCCTTCAGAGGCCGTTTGGAGGCTGCAATCAGGGCTGATGGTGCCCATATTGAGTAAAAGATATTGTCAGATGTTAAATCAACTATTTATAATTAAAAAAAAAATTTTTTAAATCTCTCCTTGTTATAGTTCTTGATGAGGTATATCCAGACATGAATGTAGCCATTTTTTTGCCGCATACTGTATAGCCAAATAAAACTGTTTATACTTAAATGGGCCACCCTGTGTTGGCACATAATAACATAAGGTAAGGCTAGACTGTAGTCGGTAATTATGGAATTCCTTCTATTTCTATGGTATTTATAGGAAGCAATCATGTAATTGGTTAACTCTCCTAGTGTGTGGACGATTGCCCAGAGTGCCCAGAGTTGGCTTGGCAGCTCTCCGCTCTGAGGACAGTTGACTATCCTTGCTGGGTGACTTTCAATGGAACAAATGGACCTGTCATGATTCTAACCTGATTCCTTCTTAACCCTTTCTGGTTCATTTCATTTGTAATGCTATGGAGATAGTTGGACTGTCTGCCAGTGGACTGCAAATGGTTAAAGTTTCTCCATTTTGGTGAAATCAATTTGGCAAGAAAACCATACTCTGCCCATCTTTATGGCCTGAGCCTGTAATATTCTTTATAATTTTATTTTTTCTTATCCATAAAGTCAATAACATGTCTGAAGAGTGACCTTCAATTAGAAATATTGGGCATTGTGTCCATAGTGCATTTAAGGCCCTGTATTCATAGATAGGCCTGCTTTTCATGATTTGCTAAACACTTGCAAGTAATTAAAGGAGGGGGGGGGGGTGAATGGAATCTGTCATGATGTAGCAGAAAAAGAAAATTGTAATGATGGGTACTGTAAGTTTTTTCCTCCCTTCATATTTCCTGAAAAAGGGTGAGATTCAGAAAGGGGAATGTTGCCAAATGCTCAAGGGACATCATGAAAACTGGAAGGAAAAAGCAATTTTTTCAAGAGGTGTTTTCTTTATTTTCACTCAATTCCTTTGTGTTTCCTTACATTCTTGAAAATTCTATAAGCTGATAAATATTTGCTGTGAATATGTTGTATTTAACTGTCAACTTCCAGAATAACAACAGTTCAATCTATTCGTATTCAGTTCTCCTTTGTTCAGGTTAGGAAAAGGATTGTTTGGAAAGACACGTGATTTCTAGCTGAGAGTAATGCACAGCTCAAAAGGTCACTCTGCCTAGGTTTGTGATTACTGCCTGTATTGTCATTGCCAATCCACTGTGTGATGGTTCCCAGTGCCCATAGCATGTCAGTTTAACAGGTTTTAAAACTCTTATTAAAGGAAAGTCACTGCTGGAACTAGATAATCACTGCATTGTAATCACTTTCTCGCTTTCTTTGAAGGTCATTTGGCTGACCTAGCAGGTGTTTCAGATCTCCACTGATATGGTGGGGCATATCAATGTTCGAGTGTCTCAGAATTTATTTTCACCTACTTTTACTGCCACTTAAACTTCTCTCCTTAATATTTCAATTTTGACATTATTGACATGGTCATGTAATGTTTCTTAATTTCAGAGAATTATGATTTATTGCAAAATGTAAACATCCTTTTTGGGGAAATTGTTTGAACTAGAATTGTGTTCATCTTCGAAATTTGACTGGTTTTATGGGACATCCTACATATTGGCACTGTGCTTACATGTAGAATACCAACCTGTCTAACTAGATGAACTATACTATTATATTACATGACAGTACTAATCTTCATGGCTTCCTTTTTATAGTACTGGATACTGCTGGCCAAGAAGAATTCAGTGCCATGAGAGAGCAGTATATGAGGAAAGGAGATGGTTTTCTCCTTGTTTATTCCGTGACTGACAAGCAGAGCTATGAGAACATCCACAACTTCTACACCCAAATCCTCAGAGTCAAAGACAGGTGATGAGTTATTCTATTCATCTTGATGCATAAAATTAGCTTAACCCTTTGATGAGTGTGCCCATATATATATGGGTTCATATTTTCATGTGGTGTCGTTAGTGCAAATGTATGCGGTGGGTCTTGAGACTGACCAGACAGGTGCTACCATCTAGCCATGTCTTCCAAGAACTTTTTCTGCAAATTTAAATTCCAATTAATCCCATAAATATGCAAAAGAATCAAAAGATGTCAGCAGTAGAGGACCGATTCCTGTTACCAATGCATCACCTGTGACGTTGGACTCTGTATTCATCCATGCTTTGCTGAGTACCACACCTTAAGCATTTTGGAAGATTAGAAACAAGAGAAATGTACAAAATCACCTCAGAGATCCCAATATTCATGTGCCCAAAAACTTATTTTAAAAATATATGCAAGTACGATGTTAATTTATGTAAGGAAAATATATATTGTAATTTTCTGTCACAATTGCATAATCTAAAAAAAAAACTCCTGTAGGTCTGGCAAGGATGTAAAAACCCATCACTCAAGGGGTTAAATGTTGATGGAATGGAAACTGACTGGCTTTTTCTCCTTTCTTATGCAGGGACTCCTATCCAATGCTTATTGTTGCAAACAAAGTGGATCTAGTTCACTTACGGAAAGTGACAGAAGAGCTGGGGAGGGAAATGGCTGCAAGGCTTGGTGTCCCCTACATGGAAACATCTGCAAAAGACCCACCTCTCAATGTTGATGCTGCCTTTCATGAGGTATTTATTCTTTGTTGAGGTTATTTAGGGTCACTTTACATTCTGCTTCCATTATCTTGAGGTAGACAGTGAAGGTATGCGCTTTCAAATTTGACTCAAGTTGTGATGCAAAGCACTGAAGGAATTTTGCAATGATAATTTATGTCTTGACCTATATACATACATGACACAGAGATAACTCCTATATATTGCTTCTTGCTATGATGCTCTTAACATGCATATGATGTGTCATCTATAGAACTGTTTGTTCATTGACAGGTTGTCCGTATCATCAGGAACCAGCCGCCTGAAGATAAAGGTCGCAAGAAACGCAAAACAAGGAAGGGAAAATGTAAAGTGATGTAGTTGCACCTAATGTGGGAGTTGGCTCTATGGTTGTTCATAAATCTCAGTGAGAGTGTGTCAATATCCCACATATTCCAAGATTAGGGATGTGTTCAGGGATGCTTAGAGAGGATCCTGCTGTACATTCAAGGTATGAATCTTGGTATAGAGGTAGTGAGCATCTGCATACAATTGAAAGGTTAGGTTGATTTTCACATAGCTGGTGAGCAAAAAGACTGAATGAAGCTTCTCAGTGAAACTGTTTTGATGCATGGATCTAATCATTGTTGTATCTTCTGATCTCAGAATGGAACGAGTCAGCTGCTAGGTTTGTGTGATTTGGCATTGGCTGCGATCTCTCAAATTTAAATTCATTTGATTCACATGTGGTATTTATGGGCATTGCTGTGGCATAATTATGCATGTGATCTGTCACAAGGAACAAATTGTCCAATAAATAGGAGTGGTGATGCCAAGATAGGAAATACTGGATTTCCATAGGTAATGCTTTTGTTGGAGTCACAATATAGATTTGATAGAAATTGGTATATCAGGGTCTCACTATTTCTGGCTTTAACATGCTTGCACTAATGTTAGGTTTGTCAGAGGGTTTGAGTGATTGAGTCTGCAGCAGATGTTTCTAAAGTACAAAGTAAGTCATGATGTCATTGTTTCACTTGAAATGCTGGTATGAATCAGTTTTTTTATTCATTGATATTCATGCATTGGAGTCTCAAATTCAATATCATACCGTCAAGAATGCATGCCAACTGTTGGTAATGACTGTAGTGCTCTTCAGAATATTGGCCATGTTGCTGTGGATATCCAGTAAGGCTGGATATCCATATCTTGATATCTGAAGAATTCATGATTGTGTAGGTCATGGCACCTTTTATTTAAATTTGGCATCACCTAGGGTAGTTATTATATGCTTTGTATCATAATCTTTATCCTCTGCCATGTTGACGCAGGCAGTGACAGTCTGGAGATTTACTAGTCCTGTGATCTTGTTTTATGTCTTGTCAAGAAGTTTCATGTGATGAGGCCAATTTCTAAAGGGTTTGGTGATATCTCAGTCTATTGATTACTTATGGGCAGTGAATGAAGACTTCATTGTGTAGTTGAGAAAAATATTTACTTAGCAAACTCTGTGGATTTTAAAGAAAGTACTTTCAGGGATTCTGCAGTGCAGGATAATCAACTTCACTAATTTAAGTGGTGGTTCCACATAAGATTGCTTTTAGCACCTTCCATTCTTATTTTTTTTTAAAATGTATGTGGCATTCATATGGTAACATGATTTAAGGCTAGCAGAAAGAAGGACCTTTGTTTCCTTTTCATTTAGCTCACATTGGGCTACATAAGCTGCTTTCATCATACTAGGGATTCCAGGGAATGACTTGATGTGTGTTGATGTTGTGATGCTCTTGCTTTGAAAAGATTTTTGCTTATATAAGGTTGAGAATTTTTCAGACGATAGATATGGCTGACGTTGATGAATTGATTTTTCTGGATCACATGGATTCAGGAGAGATACGTATCAATGGGGACAGAGAGGGAGACTCTTGACATGTCATATTCCTGCTTATGACATTGTTTCTTATTTTGCTGGCTCAACCTTGTACTATATTGTTAATTTTTTGAAGCATTCAATTTGAAGTGCTGATGGTATTTTATCCATCAATGGGCCTTTTTTTCAAGCAGATGCTTTTTCTTTTTAACTGTGATACCCAACTTTCTTTCTGTCTTTCAATGTATTGCCCAATATAGTATTTAACACATACATGTATGGTTGTTTGTTTTGCATATGTCCTTGCACGGCAACACTGTACACATTTGCAAGGAGAGAATGATACACAAGTGCTTCTCTTGAAGTTTGTTCTGTGCTCAACATTATTTGATGTGTAATAAAGGACTTCATAATGCATTAACCTTTCTGATGTCAAGTAGAACTTTCTACTTTTACTTGGTGCTTGGCCTGCCTTTGGTTGTAGCAAGGCTGATGAGCATAACTGCTTGTCTCTTAATGTTGCAGTGATGTGGAAATATTTCCTTTACTAGTTTGAAAGAAAGATATGGTGGATTGCCTTTTTGAAAGTTTTACATCTCTCATAGATAAAATTGATGTCTTTATGCACATTAATCTCTCCTGAGCAGAGAGAAACAGATTTGAAGAGTGGACATGATGAAGGGAAAATGAGACTGAGGGATTCAGTGACTTTTTCATTTCCACCCGGAGACACCCAAGACTTGTAGGTTTAGTAGCATTTTTCATGTTGGCTGACTGAAATTTCTCAGAATTTCCTGTGTTTTGTATGTTCACAAATGTTTTATTTTAGAGGAGATGGGCCAGGAGAAAAGGTGTTGGTTGTGTCTATGTGTGGGAAGACACCAATGCATTCAGGGGGAGCCAAGCGTATTCCTTTGCATGAACTTGTGGGAAAGATAATTTTTGAGCGAGCTGCCTGTCGTTGTCCTGACCTGGATGAGGCCATGGTTTGTGATACCTTTTTTTTTTTTTATAAATTGCCCTAGATGGTGCTTGAGGTTAATGTTCCTCATGTCATGGCTATCTGAAAATTTATTCAACTTTGTTTTGATTGAAGTGAGGTGAAGTGATAAGATGCATTTATTATGGCATGGACTGCTTTTTTTTTGTCTTAGACATTGGTAGAGGGCTATTATGATGTCCAAGAGAAGGTTGTCTACCTTTGCCTGAATGGTGTCTTTGATACTGCCTGCCTCCCACAAGTATGGGCTCGAGAGGCCAACAACCTCTATGATGAGGTATCTTCCATCAATATCCCAGCTTAAGCTTAATGTGAGGCAATTGTGTCAGTATTTTTCCTTCATTCAGGGTTTCCTTTGTACATGGGCTTCCATGAAACGCACTTATGCCAAAGCAATGCTGTTCCTCTTCCTTGTCTCTCATGTGGTCATCATCTACCATCCCACACCTCGTTTTGACATCACCTACATTACCCTCTTTCAAGCTATTGAAGAAGCCCGGTCTGCAGTCCTTTCTAGAAAATTGCTATAATTTATTTTCTAGCTTTACAACTGATGAACTTTTTTCAGACAGAAGGTGCAAGGATCGGTGTCAGACATCCTCCGCAGTGTTGCAGGTATACCTAGGGAATGGGCATCACGTGGACGTCTCTGTTCACCTCGGGTCTTGTTCTATTTCCACGATTGCCCACGTCATCTCCTCAGTCAGCAGCCATCCAAGAAGCATCAGTCTAATCTCAAATACCCTCTGGTGAAGAAACTGGAACACTCCTTGGAGGATCAGATCTACCGTATTCTCCGCAAGAGTCGGGTGATCACCAACGTCAGTGCCAATTCCCTATTTGCCATCCCTTCAAATCAGGAGTTTGTTTACGTGCAGACCGAAGAAGATGAATCTATTTCAACTACATTCATCATGGACCAATTGCTCTCAAGCATTCGTCAGGTTAAGGATGGTAGTGAGTATCATAATTTTCTCTATGTTTGATATCTGCTTTTACTAACCTCTGATCATAAGTGCTGTTGTAATTTATCTTAAAATGTTAGCATCTCGAGGAGTGTCTCGCTCCCAGGGCCAAGCTTCAATGGGGACTGGGAATCATGCAGGAGGAAGCCATATTTCTGCATTATCAGTCATGCAGCAGTCAGGCTCTGGTGCTCCTGTGTTGCTCAGTGAGGCATTAGGTATCTCCTTTAATGGAAGGAGTAATCTCCCATTGCCTGGTGAGTGGGTTTTGCTTAATGTAGTTGTTGGCTTAAAAAACTGACAATCTTTTAAGTCTAATTTTATTTTTTAGGAGAGAAGCACTTGTTTGTCAACTTTTTGAGAGAGCACATTGAGCTTGGATTGACAAAAGGTTTTGATGATAATGTTGGCAGACATGCTACTCCAGGCTTCTTTGAAGTAAGTAATATTGAATTTTATTTCAGTTTTTCCTAATATTATTTTCAGCCCTATAGAATACTATTTCATGATCTCAGATGGCATCCTTCTCCATATGGCTGATGGCTGCTAACAGAGTCCATGAACTGATCATCCGTAAAGAGATACAAGATCCCAAAGTAGACCTAGTGAGTTGAAAAGATAATTATTTTGAAAGACCTGGTGATCATGTGTGATGAAGTTAAGTATGCTATTTATGCAGGCCATGGATCACCTTTCAAGCCTTCTTAATCCTGACCTTAGATTCAGTGAGGCTCGATGCAGCAAGGTCCTTCCATTGGCTCTCTCTGCTTATCAAGAGAACTTACCACCTCATTACACTGAAGATTACCATGAGACAAAGGTGAGTGGACATGCCAAAATGTGAATTTTTCTGATTTGATTAGATGTAGACTTACTTGTACCCTTTTGATATGCCCCCTCTACAGCTGTTCCATGCAGAAACTGCCTTTATGCAGCAGGCAAGAGGCCCTGCATGTGAGCGCTTTGTGGAGAAGCTGAGAGAAGAGTGTGATGCCATCTGGCATGGAGGACGAGAAATGTGTGCTGTACTTAGTCTTCGTGGGAACCAGTGCATCAATCCTAAGCATCGCACCCCTCTGGACATGGAATCTGGCGAGAATCAGTTGGCAGACTTCCTGCAACTACAAATACATAACCATAGTAGAAGAATGGAATTTCATAACAGTGTCATCTTTCTGCATTAGTCTCCCTGTGATGCCACACTTGAGCCAAGTGAAGCTGATTTCCACCTGCAACTGTGGACGTATGCAGGGAAGCCGAGATGACCCATTTGATCTCAGCGCTGCCAATTTTGACTTCTATCTCATTTTGGAAGAAGCCTGTTGTGCTCCTCTGGAGAAATGGAACTTCCCTGTCTTCCAACCCAGCATCAAGGATTTCCGGTGAGTGCTGAGCATTGGTATCCTGATCATCATAATGGGTTGATGTGAAACTGCTCCTTGTCCATTAGAGCAGCAGAGGTAGTAGAAGACTATTGGTGTCAGGTGCAGACCAATGGAAAGGATGCAGAACCTCAGGAAGGGGCTAGATCAGGAACATCCCTGGATCACCTGAGTGGTCCTGTTGCATCAGCAGAAACTAAGCAGGCTCTTGTCAAGGGACAGTCGGGTCCAGCCACTGCTGCCTCCCACACAGACTTCCAGCTCACACTAGGTGGATTATTTCTTCCTATCTAAATTGCCTAATCTGACTGAAAGTTTTCAGAGAGCTATTTTACAAGTTGAACCAAATTGTTGGATGTGTTGTTAGAAAGGGTTATGTTCCCTCATCCACTTATCAATATGCTATGATAATAGTCCCTTTAAAGGCATGTTCTGTCCTCTGGGATCATTGAAAGGGTATTGAGAGCCCAAGGTGAACAGACTGGAAATTATTCACCTTGGGCCTGAACAATTCAAGATAGGTGGAATTGGCAGAAGTTTTCTCCTGGGAAATTTAAAAGCAAGAATCAATACCATAGTCATCCATTTGAGTTGTGTTCTGGTGGTTGACTGGAAATGTGAAGCATGCCTTTATCTTACGTAGAACAACACAATGATATGCAAGCATGTGTCTTTATCTTGTCATTGGCTTTGATGAGTTGGCGATTCAGACTACTTCGACACTGCTCACAAGACCCATGACATTGGTCAAATGGATGATTCATTGTTTGACCTGTTGTGCTGATAGGTGGTGCTGACAGTGGAGACCTCTTTACTCATGATGATACCAAGTTCCTCCATCAATCAGCTGGAGTATCAGAAGATGAGGTTGACCGTGAGTGCCTCTCTCTTTGTAATTTGTGTGGGTTACAGAACTTAGAATTATTCCCTGTCTAATGAGACATGTGAAATGGCAGAAGGGCTGAAGAGCCAGGAAGATGAGTGCGACCGGGAGAAAAGGAAAGAAATCCTGGCAGTTGCAGAAGATGGTGAGAGGGAGAATGACAATGAAGAAGAAGGAGATGTTGATAAGAACATTGAAGAAGATAATGTGGGTGATATTAATGAACAAGAGAAGAATATGCCTGAAGTGAGTAAAGAGTGGGGAGATGACAAGAAGGAAGAGGAAGTCAAAGTCGTGGATCTGTTGCGTGAGTGGTTGGCCTTTATTATTCCTTAAAATCTTGAGATGTATAACTTTATTCTTTCATCATCCTCAGACTTTCTGACTCAGCCTCTGACTTCAGCAATATAGTATTTACTACTACAAAATAAAATATGGGGTTGTTTTAAAGAGGCCACCCAACTTTGTTTGGTCAAAACTTTTTCAGAGGTAAAAGGTTGGAAGCGCCTGATGTTTGAGAAAGAGTTGGATGAACCTGAAAAATTTTCTTCCACATTCACCAGATGGGCACTGTGGTTGCATATACAACATACATACAGAAAAAAAAAAGTGATTTTATGAGAAATGGGGATATATAATATATGGGACATGTGTAGTCTATCATATATGATATATGAACATATATGGGAAAATATATATGATCATATATTGCTATTGAAACAATGAGTATATGATCATATATGGCAAGGCCATATTAGAATTTTATTAAAAGCTTGTATGTAAAGGATATGGTGGAGCAGATAAAAAACTTGTATGATTTAAGTTTATCTAGTATATGGTTAGGCATATATGTCACACCTGATGAGATACATGCCCAAATCAGGTATGAAACATACATGAAATCATGACACTCTTGCAAACCTCTCCCAAATGTAAAAAATGACTTCTGGAATTAAGTTGAGAATTGGCACTTCATTTGTTACTTTTGTGAAAATAAAAAAACCCATTCACTTCACTAATGTGCTGAAAATGAAACATGTCGGAATAATTGAACAAAGGTGTCCGTATCCGTTTCAAGATGTACGAAGTTTTCTGTCTGAACTGTCAAGTTTTACCATCAAGCAGGATCTGTCAATTAGTTCTTTCAGTCATGGAAGAAGAAAATGAAAGTAAAATCACAGCAGTTTCTTCACATCCCTGCCACTCAGAATTGGTTTAATGTGTACTTCATAATGGGAATCATGAGGATGGCCCAATTGTGTAGAAGCCTAAAGCCTCAGAGTGTGTCATACTTGTTTTCAAGTCCTACAGTTCCATAAGTGTACAGTGTATTAACATATACCATGTTTTGAAAGGCTGTATAAGTAATTATGTCATGTATGACTTACTTCATGAGGAATTGCATGCAAGCCATTATGCAGCATTATAACCACCATTAAGAAGAGCAGCAAAACCTTTCCAGCATGAAGGATGCAGTACTTGTAATTGATAAATGAAAAGGCCACAAAATTATTGTTCTTTATACCATATGGCCATACCATCTAAATTTTCGTAGACCCCATATGCATATGGTACACGAAACATTTCCAGCAATCATATTTTTTTAAATGAAAGCATGCATGCTGAGTATGCATTAATGATATATGAAAGTTCTTAAAAACCATATACTTAAACTAGATGTATCATATATGCAGGAGCCCATCCCTTAAATTGTATAATTCTTTTATACAGAACATATATGCTGCCCTGGTATGTTTAATATATGAATAATTGTTACATGGATCATATGCTCCATCCATATATGCATGCATATTTCAATACATGATAAATATATGAAATTATAAGGCACTTATAATTGTGTATAACTACCATATATGTTCTTTCTGCATGGGTTAAAGGAGTATAAGTGATACCATGATAAGGAAAGGGCAACAAGAGTTAAGTTTATTGTCATTCGTTTCTACTACTAGGTGCACCCTTTTCCTAACTTGAATGAATTCTGCATGGAATAGCAGCAATCTTGTGTCTTCTGACATTTTTCAAGGGAGGAAAATTGTGAATAATTGCAGTTGGTGTTCTCCAATTGGTGTTCTGTTAAATTCTCCTGTCAATTGTTAGCTACATCTGTTTGTCTCTTGAAAAGTTGTGACTGAACAGAGTTGAGTGGATTCTATATAACAACCCTGTAGATGCATTCTTGCACACACAGGCAAATTATAGTGAAATTCCTCAAATGAGGAATTTCACTATAATCAGTGGAAGTGAAGTGGAAAAAGCATCAAATTATGCTTTTTCCACTTCAGATGGCATGTTTTGAAAAATTTACATATTTATTCAATTGGAAACCTATTGCTGAACCCACTGAGAAATTTCTGAAATTTTCATGTGGACTTTTAGAGACCAGTAATGAAAATCTTTACCTAGTTCAGTGGCCAAGTATTTCAGGCTTCTGAGTGAGTCTTGGTGGATGGGAAATTAAGTTTGGGAGGAAGTGGGATTTTTTCTGCTGACAAGTAACCATTTGCTTTCATGGGAAATATCTGCTTTGTGTTGAGGTTATATTCATGCCACATCTGAGAGGTACAGGACCAGTTCACATTAAAGATCACTTGATCCCATCATTTCAGCCAATATTGTTACAAAATATTATAATGGACTTCATGACAATTTTCATTACTGCTTATAAGGCCTCTCCTTACTGTATCAATTTTTTTTACCAGAGGGAGGCAATTAATGTTTCATTACGTTTGACACCCATATACTTGGCCTTTGGCACAACTTTTCCTTTGAAAGTGACAGTAGCTTCAGAGGCAAGTCAAATGCCATCATTCAACCGAAGTCATAATTACAATGAGATTGAATCGTGGCATCTACAGTTTCTCTCCTTTTTTTTGGGAGAGGTCAAGAGCATGTTTTTCACTAATTTGGAAAGAGTCTGGGGAATCTGGTGCAATACTTCATCCACAGATGCAAATGCATCTTCCTTGTGTGGGAGGCATTGGTACAATTTGAAAACTTTCCAGTGGCTCATAATGCAGATGATGTCTAGTAGGCAGCTGTATGTTGAACTAATCCTTATATCAAGGAAAGGCTCTCATTGAGAACAGGAATATTCAGTCTTTTTTGTTAACTTTTTGGGGATAGAGTAGATTCTGCTTATTGTGATCACTGGTTATTGTTAGTCAGATAAAACCTTGAAAACCAAAACCAAATCACTTATTTCATGTATATTTTTATATTGTTAATGTCTCACCATCACTGGATGGTGTGATCATCTGTATTCTGATTGGAGAGGGAAAAGTTGAGAAATTGAACTCCACCACTGACCATATTTGTTTTGCTGGGAAAACTTTATTGTTCTGAAGAAGTTGGTTTCAGTGGCTCAGTGACTCATGATCAATCAGGGAGATTGAGCTCTGGTCATCGCCATCCTGATCTGTGCTGCCATTAACCCAAAATTGTAACTGAAACTCAGTTACTTGTATCGTTGGAAGGTACTAAATCAAAAGTCATCCATTAAAGCTTGAAATTAGGTTAATTGAGGGTCTGTTTGAAACTTTGACCTAAATGCAAAAACCTTCTTTAGTTAATGGTCCTTTAAAAATATATGAAATTCTACAGAGGAAAAAGAGTTCTTTAGCTTAAAAGCCCCTTTATCTCCCCTAAATGATGTCTGTGCATTCGGACCTTTGTTTCCAGCTGACCCAATAATGCTAACCTTGGAAAGTGATAGCAAATATTGTTCAGCTTCACAACTGTCACTATTTCTGCTTTGAAATAGAAAACTTCAAAGATTCCAATGGGATAGCCAGAGAATTGTACTGTGAGAGTACACATGAAACTCTTATAGAACTCAATGAGAGATTTCAAGATTCTAGTAGGAATTTTTAGTTTTATTCTTAGGGTATTCTAAGGAAAATAAAAATCCCTAAAATATTGATCTTTTTCTTTTCCTGAGATTCTAATTTAATCTGAATGAATGATCCTTTAAAATGGCAAAATCAGAATTTAACCATTAATTTCCCAGCATTTTTGATAAAATTATGAATTAGGATAATTCAGATACTGGGCAGGATCAGTGTTTGAAAAGCTAAACCAAACTCAAATTGAACTTTCTTAATTTTTAACTGAATGAATGATATATTTTGAATTTAAATTCAAAATCAATTCTTTTTTTCTTAGAACTATCCTGCAGTAACCAGAAAGTAAAGTAACCATAAAGTCATGTGTTCTAGAATTCTGTGCTCCTAGAACTCTAGGCTGAGCAGGTACTCTGGAATGATCAGGAAGAGACAGGTTCATTGCTCTAATAGTTCAGAATTTCTAATGGCTTTGCAATGTTCAATGTATGTTCAGTCCAGCATCTGAAGGGAAGAGTAATATGAGGAAAGATTTGAATGTTTGTACCCTCACATCAGAATCTCGAGTAAAATTTTGTATTATTCTAACAGGGTTGAACTAATCCTCATTCATTGCAATGAATCTAGCACCAAGAGGCAAATCCCATATTTTTTCAATGACTCACTGCTTACATTAATCGGCTTGTGAGATTAAACCTTCTCTGCATCATTCTCTTAGAAAATTGGCAGGAGCCAGAATAAAGCCTGGTCTGATTTTTTCCTTTATTGGAAATGAGTGGAGCATCTTTTCTTTAAACACCCTATATACTGCTCTTAGTCTCTTACAATTTGTGAGACTAGTCACATAAGAGGCAGCCACCACATAATCACATTATGCATTTCACCCATTCAATATCATAAAATGGTGGAATTATTCCTCATTGAGTCTTACTTGGGACTTGTGCAGCTTTAACTGGTTCTTATGTGTTCTTATACTAAAAGTTTGAAAAACCTATCATTCTTCATGTTATTAATTGTCTTAATGACCTCAAATGCTATCCCAAGTAACATGTGACATCCATGCAATGTTGCTGCAATGTGATTTGAGTTAAATGATGTTGCAGTAATGTTGCATAGATGTCATTTAGGTGTATCTGTTGCTTGGGATATTTCAGTAGGTCAAGGAATCAGTTTGGCATGTGGATGAGTTTAGGAGAAATGTCCTGGAAATATCTCCCCCCCCCAAGAAAAAAAAAAAAATTTGTGCTTCCTATATGTTTTTTATGTCTCTTACTATTTCCAAGTTATATAGCTTCCTGAATTTCCCTACCTGCAGACTCCCACAGCCCCCTTGCTGCTTCCCATAAGGGAAACATTTTGTATTCTTATTATTGCTCATTATAAGGACTTGTATGTTTTTCCCCTTAGATTTTAAAGGAGCTTGAGTTATGTATGGAGTATGTGAAATTTTCAGAATATGCTCCAAAGGAATTAGCTGTAGTGCTGTACTTTTTCATATTTTTCTTTCTGGAGATCACTGATGTGTCATTTGGAGTTCTTCAATGGACAGGATGATAAGACTGTCAATATGACTGCAGGGTAGACATTGATAATACTTGCTCTGTGCTCGTAGGAGGAAGAGTGATAAGGCCATGATGCCAGAGGAACATGGTAACTGCTACTGATAAGATTTGAATTTCTCATTCATTTTGATTTTTTGGGGAAGGGTGAGGTTGAGTTGGGGGAAGGAAACCAAGAGGGTCTTCCAGTGAAGACTTAATTGGAAGAAAATAAATTCCCCCCTCCTAGACCTCTCCTTCACAGGCATCTGAAATATATTTTCCCTTCACTGACTATTTGCTGTATGCCTCCTTTGGTTGTATATATAGGGAAGGAATCTGAAGGAATAACAATTCCTTATTAAGTGAAATCTAGTTGCTAACACTTAATGACACCCAGCCTGGTAGGAACACAGTCCCTAAGTTTCCAACAGCATATGCTTTATTGTAACCAATGTGCTGTTCTGTTGTTGCACATGGTGAATGTTGTCATTTACAATAAACTTATAGCATGCCAAACCTTTTAAGGAAGGGTAGAAGTTAGCAGCAGCTTGTCTATTTCCAATGGACCATAGCAGAAGCAGAAGAGACAGAGGATAAACTGCTCAAGATTGCAGGGCAAAGTAGCAATGGAGAACAGGAAGTCTCTACAACTGAGTATCTTCCAGGGATGATTCATTCCGAGAGCCCTCCCTCACTACTTCCTCAATTCCCTCACTGGTCTCTAGTTTGCCTGGGCTCTTCGAGCATCTACTCTCATAGGTGCACCTTTCCTTTAACATTTCATTTGAAAGAGTACTAGAGGTTCACATAGTGAGTTTCCAAATTTTATCATTATTCCTTCCCCCCTTCCTCTTGGCAGTTCTGGTGTTCATGATCAGCCTGGTTTCTGGTCTGGTTCTAATGTCCTCCTTCCCTGGGATGTTCCTGTGAAGATTGACTCCAAGGACAAGTGGCCAGCCATTGCTGAATCGCTTGGCAAGAAGGGACAATACCTGAAGGCCAAACGTGGTAAAGAGCCTACTGAATTTACAGTTAAGGTCTTTGTTGGCATGGAGTACGAATGTCCACGAGGACATCGTTTCATGGGTGCTTCACCTGAGAGAGTCCTCAAGGCTGGGTCTGCAGCATCTGGAAAAGACTCTGCTCTCAAGGTGGTGAACAATGACATGCCTCTGTATATGTCCTGCCCCTGTCGGTTAGTAGCTAATCTATGATTCTGTTGAAAGAGCTAGAGTGTAAAGTGTGACATTGTAGCTGATGGCTTGACTCAATGAAGTAGGAGTGGGATGCAGGGCCAATTGATGCGGGTGCATTTGGTGACCCCCAAAGCTCCTGTGAAAGTGACTTTGAATCCTCGAGTAAGGCCAGCTCCATCTCCGTGTCCCACATTTCATCCTGGTCTCTCCACTCCTATTCAGCTCTCACAGAGCTCTTATTGGATCTTGCGCCTTCCGTATCCTTTTCTGAATGTATTTTCAAAGGCTGTACATGCAAGAAAGGTGGGTTTATACTCAAGGATAAATGGTATTAATTTGCTTTTCCCAGTATATCATACTCTTTCTATCATGGCCCACATTTTGTTTTGTTGCATTCTTTCTATAGCTTACTCATATTACTGTACTGAACACCTTGACATAATGATGAACAGACTTGTGTATGTAGGACCACAAGGCCCCTACTATCCTCCACTGGAACCTGTAAAATCTGATTATGCTGTGCTCCTCAAGGATATGATTGGCCTTACAGAGATCATTCTTGACAAGTAATTTCCCAGAGGACAACTGTGATATACTTGCTGTGTTAAGATGCTTTTCTAATGAAATTTGAAATTCTTCCTTATACCTGAAATTGTGAGAAATTGCATTAACCCAGAACATTTTCTATCAGGGTTGCCTATTCAAGGCAGACCTGGGAAAACAATCCCAATTGTTAACCACTTATTGATATGTACTTTTCATCAATTTTTCTTGGCATTTTCAACATTTTTGAATATTGTATTTTCTTTAGTGCAGAGTATTTTTAACAGGATGCAATTCTTTTGCCACACCATTTTCACCACAATGCAAAATTGTTACTTACTGTTTCCTTGGCAGTTTTACTGCCATGCATCAAATTTTTTCCTTATGCTCAACTATTTACAATTGCACAGAGAGATTGAGCAGCCAGGTGAAGAGGGCACCATCAGTTGTTAAAAAAAACCTTTGTGCCGGATTCAATAGTGTCTGGCTAATAAAAATGCTGCCTGAAGAATAGTATCAGATTCAAAGATATACAGCATGCAAGAAGTGACATCAGTAGATGATGCTATGTGTGTTTGTAGAAAGACTTGCAAGGTTACTGATGCCCATAAAATCAATCATTCTAATCATAGGCACTATAAGATATTCTTTGATTAGTCTGATTTTGTATTGAGTTGATTGTGACCTTCAGGTGTCCAGGTGGTTCATAAGGAGAGCAGACTCATTACAGACAAGATGAGTTCTTGGAAGGGGTTCCTACCATTGATTTGTTTCATGACCCTTTTATTGAGTGCATCCTCACAGGTTGACAATAGCACCACTACTGCTCCACCCCCCATCACCACGACCACAAGCACCACCACCACAACAACCCCTCCACCCACCACCACCGCCACCACCCCTCCACCCACCACCACCACCACCACAACCCCTCCAACCACCACAACCCTTCCAACCACCACAACCCTTCCAACCACCACAACCCTTCCAACCACCACCACCAAACCTCTCCCACCCCCGAAGGAATGGATTGTTGGGAATGAGACTGTAACGTGCATTGTGGCCAAGTTCGGCCTCTCTATTGAGATCCAGTATGGAGCCAATAGCTCCAATGCAAACATAACAGCCTCTGGAACTCTGGATGTCCCAGATAATGCAACTGCAAGTGGAGAATGTGGAAATGAAATCCAGATCCTAAACCTCACTTGGACTCTGCCACCATCATCCTATCCATACACTCTTCAGTTAACCTTTGGCATGAAACCCAACACCACCCATTACCAGATGGAGAAACTAACCTTCCACTTTATCTATGATGAAAATCATTTCCCCAATGTCATCAATGTGAATGCATCAGGATCCTTGTCACTTACTGGACCCATTGATGTCTTCAGCTCAGCAGTGAACAGCTCGTACAAATGCGACTCCCGCCAAACGGTCTCTGGAAATGTCACTGGAAATGAAAAATTTACTATGGCCTTTGAGAAGGTTCAATTTGAGGCCTTCAAGTCCTCAAATGACACAAAGTTTGACCAGATGGTAGAATGTGCTGCTGATGCCATGACATCTGACATCGTCCCTATTGCTGTTGGATGCGCCTTGGCAGCCTTGGTCGTGATTGTCATCATTGCATATGTTGTTGGCCGACAGCGTGCTCGGCAGCGAGGATACCAGAGTGTGTGAAAGGGATGAGGATGCTGTTGGGAGAACTCGGGAAATCAACTCGTGTGATCCATATTGATTTGATGCCTTTCCTGTTTGATAAACTTCAAAATGGAATCAAGGAGAGGCTGATATTTAGCTCATCCTTGTGATAACTGCAAGAAAACTGTGAGAGGAGAAACAAACACCCATGAGTGAGTGAGAGAGCGACAGAACTTGTATCTAGACATTCAAGAAATCTTCAGCCAATCTTTTGTTTTTATTCTTTCATGTGTTTGTAGAGGCAAACTATGCTTCACTGCGTATTCATGCTTCTCATCTCTCAGCTGTATGCTATGTGCATGAGTTTGTTGAATGTTCTGTCTTCTCTCTTAGGGGCAATAAATGCTCTAGTGCCGACTGCATACCATGGATTGCTGCGGGAAGACAGTTTTGGGGCATTGCAAGTGTTTTGTGATATGCAAAGAACTCTAATGATTTTTTTTAAATATCAATAAACCTAGGCCTAGAGTGTGTGCTTTCTTACACTCTATTGTAAACGGAGATGTTGGTCTGCCTTTCATTATAACTTTCTTTGCCAGTGAAATTTAGGATGTCAGTAGAGAATGAAAGCTTTGTTATGCTGAAGGGAATTGCTTGTTCTGATTATTCTCTGTATTCTTTTTTTCTCCAATAAAAACAAAAAGAGTATAGATGATCAATGGTGTGTGATGGAAAACTATGAGAGAGGTGAAGTGGTGTCATTGGATGAGAGCCAGGTGCCACAATTCGATGGCCTTCCTCCAGAACACGAACTGATCGTGGTGAAACAAGGAACCAAAATATGGAATGTGGTGCCGTTTGCATTAAAGGCCATCAAGGACAAGAAACATGTGGTGTGGTCTGGGTGTGGGACTGGGATTGAAAGGACAATCTCCTGTGTGGAAGTGATGAAACGAAAACTCAGGACTCTACACCAGACCACTCGAATCCGATACAAAAAGTCTGACATTTTACATTCCAGTTTCCAGTGTCCCTTTAGAATATTCAAGTCATTATCGAAATTGTGCTTATTGATTTGCAGAGTGGAGGAGTATTGGAATCCGAGGTTGGATGGTTTGGATACATTGAAGGTGGTGAGAGAAATCCCTGCCATTGACATCTGGGTGTCCACAGAGCCCATTCCCACCTCTGTTGATGGGTGAGTCCTGTAGCTTGTGCACATTTTTGCTTCATCCATTTACTATCTGTAACTTTCATTTCATTTCCTTCATGTCATTTCAAACAGAAGTAAGGACTTTAATGAGGAGCACAGGAGATCTTTACTAGGTCAATTTCATTAACATACACTAGTTGGCATAATCTCTGTAGACTGTGACACAATTGTAACTTCCTGATCACAATGGAGCTAATATGGGAGTGGTTCAACTCAGTATTAAACGAATTGATGCATATAGGGAAAAAAAAAACTATAAAAAGTAAAAATGAACTAAATAAATATCTTCAGGCAATTGGGCAAAAAAAAGGATGCAAGGTTCTATAATGTAAAAGCCATGGCAGAATGACCACATCTTAAACTTTACGAACAGAATGTTTCCATATTCAAACAGTATGTAATCTTCCTTTGTTTAGGTTTGGAAAGGAAGATTCCATGCTTTCATGCTCTTTGAACATGGCAAAATTCACGTTTTTCCACGTTCATGCTCTGAATATGGTAATCTTTGGCATGTGAAGGTTGATACAGATGGGTAGTTTGTTGGACCTTGATCATTTTATTGCTGTCGTTTTTTAAGTCCTCTCCCAAAATTTCACAGGCTGAAACTAGAGGTGAATTGTAAATTTCATCCTTTAAATTTTGAGAGAATAGAAAATGTATTCTCTCTAAACTTTCGAGTCGTCTCGAGCTTTATCCTGGTGGCTATATTATGATAAACCTGAAACATGAGAACATAGAACATTTAGTTTCGTAAATGGAGATTTAGCAGTACCTGCTCTTTCGATCTTGAGGGAAAAGTGACGGGTGATTCTGTTGAAAAATGTGCTTCAGCTACCAGGCACCAGGGACGTGCTGGGCGTTTTCTCGTGAGCCCCCCAAGGGAAGAGACAGGCCTCAAGGTGCATTCTCGGGACGCCAGCCCAAGAGGAAACCCTTGAAGAAGACGAAAGGACTTCCTGGTCCTGCCCAATTCAAGCAATCCTCTTCGCGTGAACAAGCTCAAAGCTCTGCCATGGGAAACAGTTGACCGGTGTTATTTTTTTTTGTGTACCCTCTGAGAAGGCTAATGCTTCTTGTTTTGTTTGATTTACTGATGGGATGCCTTTGTTAGAATGAACATTGCCAAATGTTTAATTGGGATTTCATTTAAGTCCAAATGTAAATTGAAGTGAATCTGCATGTGCTTATCCTGTAATGAAGGATCTTCTCCTGAGGCCTTCCAATCAGGTATCGTTCAGCCTATTTTGTGTGAATTTGCCTTGCTAAGGCAGCCAGACTAAGGCTCCGGGTGATAGGGGAAAGATGCAGCTTAAAAAGAAAAATCTCGAACGTGAAGAAAGTTCCTCTTTGATCCAAAGCGAAGACATCACCAAACGGCTGTTTGTGTCCACAGTTGAGCCAAATTAAATCTAGCCAGCATGTATTATTTGCGAACAAAGGAACCGAAACGCAACTCCTAATAGAAGAATAGTCACGGTAGGTAATTGCCGTGGCATCATTGAAGAAAGCTCTCGAGGCATCCGTCGGAAATGTAGGTCGTGATAGTTTTCGCCTTCTGGAGTGAGAGGCGAAACGCTTCTAGGAAAAAAGAAAAATGAAGCTTATTGAGAGTTCCTGAAATCCCCATGAACTGCAGGTCATGAAAAGAGTCGCGTTCAAGTGAAAGACGATGAGTCGAAGACGGCAGGCGTCCAGCTGCCGAAACGCCTGTTCGAGGGCGAGACCCACTCGAATGCCGATTTTCGATGAATCCGCGATGATGAATTCATTTTTGGTTGAGAAATTTTGCCGTCAGACGAAGAAAGCCTGCAGACTTTTCACCAAAACAAAGACTCGCGTGATCGCGCCAAAAAAAAGAGACTATTTTCCCGGAACCGCATTGGATCCATGAGACGAAAAATCAATCGCGTCGAGTCCGACGAGGATTCTTGTTCGTTTTTCTCCTGGGGAAAAGAAATTAGCTTGCATGAGAAGACGACTCACGTGAGTCAGTTTTATTTGAGACGAATTTTATTTTAAAATAATTAAATGACCACTAATTTTTAATTAATAGAGGCGCAAACTCGCGGACAACTTCTCGTTTTCTAAAATTGCGCCGGGAATTTTACACATGCCGCAGTATTCAGCAGTCAAATACACGAATTGCACGTTTTGTTTGTTTGTTTTTTTTTTTAAGATGGCTGGAAGTGCGAAATCGTCTCCACCCGATGCGCTTGGAACTCGGAATGTGGCATTCGGAGGTCCGATAAAACCGATTTCCGAATTTAGCCGGAACGACTTCTGTTTCCAGCCTCCGATGGCGAAGAAGCCTCGGAAAGGGCTGGAAATGTGTGCATTCCTCAGACTTTCGGCTTTCCTTCCGAAAGACGGGATCGATAAAGAAAATGTGACTGTGTAGATCTCGAAGGACGTACGAGATATTTCTCTCGAGATGTGGAAATTCCAGAAAGTCGTGGCGATTCTTCTTTTCGAACGATATAGAAACGATTTTCGTCCGGGTCCAGCCTCCGGACCCCGTCCCGCGAAAAGAGAAAACGCGAACGACCCCATGTCGATCTTCGAACGAGCATCGACTCGGCCATCGACCGCGTCCCCGGCACGAACCAGCTCGTCTGAGACCTCGACGAATCCCCGCATTCGGCGTCTGTCGTTCCACACATCGAGCTCGGACAAAAGAGGACATTTTCGCGGTTCCTCCTCATTCATCGGAATGTGGAGACTTCGATGGGAGTGAAAGTGACAGTGGCACCGCTCTCCCCTCGTCTGCCTCGACGCTTCTTACGATCGCTTAAATAAAGCCTTCGAAGAACTGTGTTGTTCACTGACAACACCTCGATACACGTAATTTCGTCTTCCTTGACGAAAATCAGAGTTGCCAACTCTGATCTTACATTTGGGGGAACCAAACGGGTTCCTGCCGACAAGGGACGACCGCCCCTCGACCTCAACCTGGAACAAGTCCCATCCACCCACGGAACGTCCAGCCCAGTCGATACGACCCGACTCGAACAAGTAATCCCCTCTCCAAGCCGATTTCGCGTCACCCGAGGAACCGCCAACACTGCGTCTCGCATTCGCGGGATCTTCCCTAGATGTCGGGCGAGGCACGAACGTCACTGTTCCCGGGCGCAATAGCGTGAGCTGAGGATTAGATGACTCAACCCCCTTGCACGAGTGGGAGTCGGTTGACGCTATGCTGACACGAGAAGAAAAAAAAAATCCATTCCCGTTTCATCTCAACTCGGTCGAGATGAGAGTACAGTTACCACCTACCGACTACCAGGTTCGTTGTTATTTATTTTTTTTTTTTAGGAGGGAGGAGGGTCAGATGTTCTTAGGTAGGTTGAGACATTTCTGAATCGTGAAGCTCTCGCATTCTTGGATGCGATTCCCAGCAAGGAAAACAGGCGGAAAAAACTCTTCGTATCTGTTAGAGGGAAGTGATAGCTTTCCACTGGCACGAAAACGATTTGCCTATCACTAAATGATAACTGAAAAAAAAAGGTGAAGTCATCTTTCCGCGATTCGCTTGCGAGCCAGGTTCGGGCCATCTCGGTTTACCTTACGCCCTCAAAAATAATATTTTTGTAGGAACGTCTCTATTTCTGTGTCCGGGGAAGTGAAATTCGGGTTTACTTTTTTTTTATATTTTTGCTCTCTATAACAAGGAAAGAATTACATGACGTGGGACAGGTGAAGTATACGATCCCATGATCACCTTGAGGTTTCCAAAGGAAAGAATCTTCGCGTTTCAAACCAGATCCTTGGGTCGCTCGTGGGCTTGGAATCGATGATCCAGGACGCATGGTGGTCCAAGGATTGCATGCAGTCCGTGCGTCTCTGTGAAAACTTCTTTTGTCTGTTATTTATCCACTGCTGAAGAGAGGGACAATGGCGTTCTTTTCGGGAATTGATGGCGTGAAGTCACGCAGACGGATTCTGCTCGCTGCATAGGTACAGGATAAAGGAATTCGAAGGTGCTGTAGAGACGGATTGGGAAAGATGGCGTCTTCCTGTGTGCGAGCGAAACTCTCACTGACGCAGTCATTATCTTCCCCGTTCCTCCCTCTTAGATCCACGCCCTTCCTCTCCCTCTGGTTCTTCCAGACAGTATAAGTGCAAATGTCTAGTCTCATATCACAAATAGTTAAACGGACATACAATAGTAATTCTTTTGCCCTTCGCCGACGTCTAGCAGAGCGTCATTCGAGGCACCGGCGGCGTGTCGCTAGCTGGGTAGGCTAGGCAGTAGCCGTAGCGTATGTAAGGCCTAGCCTAATTATGAGCCGAAGGTGAAAGTTAGGCCCAAGACCTTGAATGTCCTGCACTTTCAGGTGGCCGTTTAGAACAAGTAAATCTGCTTCTGTGCCTATTTCTAGCTCGGAATTGTTCTATTACATGGATCATTCCATCGGCGGCAGCTGGTCGTATACTTAAAATTAAGGACCAATCTATTGATTGGTATGTTCTATAGTTACCCCCGTTGTCATCATTCAAGCAATACTTGATCTTGATCGAAGTAAGTATTGCTGTTTATTTTCTTATGGAAAAAAAATTATTGCATTCCTCTTAAGAAAAAAGAGGACAGTAAAGTGAATGGATGCGACTGAGACAAGAAATTCCTGTATTTTGCTCATATTCTGCCTGTGCCCCTTTGTAGTATTGAAGAAAGTATTTGGAGTAGTTGGAGGCTTGTATGCTTCTTTATGCATTAACTTTGTGTGGCATGATGATAAGCTCTATTTAAACAAGTGTGCACCACACATAATCTGGCAGCCCTGCAGGTTCTATCATCACTGATGGCATCTAGGTAACAAGTCCAGTTAAGTACCCTATGGCTACCCTTATTAAGATTGTTAATGGAATCCCATACCTGGGGATTTTCATCAGGAATATATAAGACCCTTTTCCACACTGCTATATGCTTCTTATAAAAAAAAGTTTTTTGTGTTGATTGAGCCATCCTTTCCCGTGTAAGTATTGCCATGAAAACTTATTCCCTTTGATGTCAATTGTATTGTCTACTTGGCTATGGAATGTACAGACAATTGATTATTGGGTGGCTTGTGTTGACAACTAAACAATTGACTGTCTGTATTTAATAGTTGGCTACTGAATAACTGACTCAATTGCAGAGGCCATCACCTTATTTCATGTCCCATCCTGACATAGATGTGACTCATCACACTTTTGAACCACTGCCTGTTGGCTAAGAGGGCAAAGTTCATTAAGTTAACCCCTCACTCTCCCTCTGGTATTTTACTCATTTGCTATGTCAACCCTATCCTTTGGTGGGGAGTTAGACACTGGTAGCTGGAGTGGTAGTATTGGAAGCCCATCCCTGTCAAATATTTGGAGCACATGTAATTTTAATCTTAAAGCCATCCTATGCCATACTTCCATTTAGAAGTTTTTCACTTTGGGTGATGGTCCTTGAATCATCAAAGTGTGCTTTGGTAATACTTGATAAGTATCATAGTGTTTTGTGGTTAGAGAGGAAGTTGAGGATATTGACAGGTTGTTGTTTTTACTGCTAAGAAGTACTAGGAAATCAGATACCAAAAGTTATGCAGGAGATTGTAAGGTTTCACTGGGCAAGCAGGGATGCTGGAAATGTACTAGTGGGCTTGGTGAAGGTCTGTAAGCACAATGTAGAAGAGGACTACTAGAACCAGAATATGAACAGAAGTGAGACTACAAATGAAAGTGGATGAGGTCTAACATCCATTGATAACACCCACTAATATTCTGTTGCCAACAAGTGAACAAGCCAACAAGATGAATGTCTGATACTGGAAGGAGGTGGTTGATATAATAGTGTCTAAAACATGGCATTGGCTCTGTGTTTGATTCATAGATGCTGTTTGAGTTTTGAAACACTTCAGAACATGGTATTGTGAAATGCTGACCAGCATCTACTGGTGGGTCCTGAATTGTCAGAAGTTTAGTTGTCATTGTTAAGCATCAAACCTTTTTCTCGTGATCTATTAATTTGGGGAGTCACTTAAAATCACTTCCATGTTTTCGCTACTGCCTCATTTTTCTTGCCTTTTCTTAAGCTGTATAACTCAGGTAATCAGGGTTTGTCATTGGACTTGGGAATTTCCCAATGGAAAGAGCTCCTGAAATAAAAACAACCCACTTTTTTCCTTTGAAGTAGCCTATACCAAGGGTAGCTGGGTCTAACCTCAGGTCTACATTCTTCCAACTTATGGTCACCCTTTTTGTTATCTATGAGTATATGAGAAGGAAATGACAGCAAGGCACTGCTTGCTAAAGAACATATCTTCTTTGTATCTTTTGTAGAAATGTAAACTATTCCTTGTGGGTATTTTAAGGGATGATTGAAGGGAATGAGTCAGCATTACTTTCATAAACTTTTAATGAAGTTATTCAGAGTGCATAGTCAGCATTTTTATAGTTACTGGTTTCTTTATTTGCAAGAGCATATGAATTTAAATGAGTAAAACTGATTAAAAAATTTGATTAGCCAGAGACATTTTGTTATCCACCCTGTATAGTCTCACATGTTTGTATGTATGAAGTAGCCATGGACCTCTAAGGCCTGAGTCCCTCTTCTGCCAATGGTAGGGTGGGGGGGGGGAGGAAGAAGTAGAACAGACAGTGTAAGAAATACCAGGAAGACCTCACTTAGAAAGATTTAGGGTATTAATGTTTCCTTCTAAAAGTCTCTGAAGCAACCATTCACTTCACCAATATGAGGAAAGTAATGAAATTAGTGAATACCTTCTGTGAGGTGAAGTTGTTGAAGGGGAAGAGTAGCTGACATCTTGGCAGCAAAGTATAAGATATCTAATAGTTATTTAGTATTATACCTCATGTTGATAACATCCACTTCTCTTTCATGTTGATAAGAATATCTACAATAGAGGAGGTAATATCTTGAGGTATTGTTCATAGATAAGGAAGAGAAATTGAGGTTGGTTTCAGTGAAACAGGACACCTGATCAGCTGAGTTGTTGAGCTTTGCAAGCATTGTGTTGTAAGGATGTAGATGGGATGTGGAAATCCCATAAGTACAAAGTACAGGTTACCCTGCATAGGCTAATGTGCTCATCTGTGCACAAGAGCTGCATTATATTTGGAGTGCCACCCATTGAAACCATTTATTGGTGCATAGCACTTCGTAGGAGTGCATACCCCTTTCTTTGATGACCAGGGAATAGAATACTCAAACAGCAACATTCTAACAGTAATTCAGCTGACCTATGTAGTCTGTTTTCATGGACCTATTTTGGTGTTTTGAAATTCCTTAGCATATGGGGAAATGGGAGGGTTTTCTTGCTTTTTGTGCTTGCAGATTCATAGGGTCTTGTTTCTCTTCAACTAGTCAACTGTGTCATGCATGTCATTGGTAATTTGTAAAACCATGATGGTGTGGATGGACATATGACATCAGCCAGCTAGTAACTTCAGGTTATGATCAGTGATGGAAACTGACTGCTTTCATTTACAGAGGTGTTTTGTTCTGAGGTCTTCTGATTGGCTTTCAAAGCTCTATTACCTTTGTTATTTCTGTGTTTATTTTTCTCTGGATATGTATAATAAAAAATTTAATATTTTTATTTATTATTTTCTTGGTAGGAATACATGTCATTTTGTCACTCTAGACCCAAAGCCATTTTGGTTTTCATTAGAACATGTAGTAACTTGTGCCAAAGCTTATCACGGCCAGTTTTTTTTATATGCCAAACCTTCCCATATTCACCCAAATTTTCACATTTGAAAATTTGTATAAATATGGTCCACAGGCTCAATGTTATGTAATTTAGGAGAGAGAATAGTTATTAGCATTTCAACTATACAATTGCCTTCACAAAAAAGTGCAAGCTCAATTTTCAAACTTCCCAATTTTAGGATGGGATGTGATAATGGGTTAACCAATGCACTTAAAAATTAAGATATTGTATATTTTACTTCCAGCTAGTGTACTCTACTACACCTTCCCTGTTACATCCATTCCAACGCTGAGATGTATGCAAAATGAGATGTCATTATTGATTGATTCTTGATGAATCCAAAAGGTGAGAATAAATTTCCAATGATGTGCTGGTTTGATTTTCACATGAAATTCAGAGTGACAAAAGGGAAAGGAATAAATTATTTCGACCCCATTCAGAAAGTATGAGGAAGCATGCAGTATTTATTTTGGTAGACATGCTGTTGAAAGTATAAAATGTACATTTAATTCAAAATTGTATCATTCCCCATCTTTTAAATAATGCTGCTTACCTTTAATGTTTTTCTAATGAGTTTTGCCAAACATTATTTTTCTATCATGAAAGAGTTCATTCCACATTTATGGATAGGCAACGTTTTACATATTTTATTCAGTTATGATTTGTTCTATTTTGAAGAGATTCTATTAGAAATGTTCAGCATAAAATTATTGTGAGGTTCAGAATGAGTCATTTTAAAGCATTTGTAATAAGAGTTTGATTCTGAATATGGTCCGATGATGCCAACTGTAGTGCTGTTCCTCCATCCCATATCCCATACTCGTGAAAAAGGTAGAGTGAGGAGAATAGCTGTTAGCTTCATTATATCATAAGGCCATGTTAATGAAAGAGTACGAAAATGCCGAAATCTGTCATTTAGTTGTGAAGCATTTGGCTTTTCGAAATTTTCATTGTCTCATTTGGTTCTGTTGCAGGTATACCATTACGGTAGTCTCCTTCGCTTCCAGTCCGTACGTGGAATGATGACAGTTCTCAAGAGATCTCAGTGAAAAAAAGTGTGGACTGGAGTAGGTACCATTATACAGTGCTGCACGCGGTCGACCGGGTTTCGTTCCAGGCTGACCGTGCACGGAAGTGACCTCCGCAGAACTCTCTCTCTTCGCCTTCTGACGTTAGGCTTGACTGTATTCGTCCCAAGGTGCTTATCCAACTCCCTGTCCAGAACCTATGCCAATATGCCATTGCCCAGTCGAGCTCGTGTGTACGCTGAGGTGAATTCCCATCGACCTCGGGAATACTGGGACTACGAGTCTCACGTCATCGAATGGGGCCAGCAGGACGACTATCAGCTCGTTCGCAAGTTAGGTCGTGGCAAATACAGTGAAGTGTTCGAGGCCGTCAACATCACCAACAACGAGAAGTGCGTGGTGAAGATACTAAAACCGGTGAAAAAGAAGAAGATTAAGAGAGAGATCAAAATTTTGGACAATCTCAGGGGAGGTACCAATATCATCAACCTCCAGTCTGTCGTGAAGGATCCCGTGTCCCGAACGCCAGCCTTGGTCTTTGAGCATGTCAACAACACGGACTTCAAGCAGTTATATCAGACTCTAACAGATTTCGACATACGGTTCTACGTGTACGAGCTGCTCAAGGCTCTCGACTACTGTCACAGCATGGGAATAATGCATCGAGATGTGAAACCCCACAACGTGATGATCGATCACGAGAACCGCAAGCTCCGACTCATCGATTGGGGGCTTGCGGAGTTCTACCACCCGAACCAGGAATACAACGTCCGAGTTGCGTCCCGCTACTTCAAGGGTCCCGAGCTCCTGGTCGACTACCAGATGTACGACTACAGCCTGGATATGTGGTCCTTGGGCTGCATGTTTGCCAGCATGATATTCCGCAAGGAGCCGTTCTTTCACGGGCATGACAATTACGATCAGTTGGTCCGCATCGCCAAGGTCCTCGGGACGGAGGAGCTGTTCGAGTATCTGGACAAGTATCAGATCGAATTGGATCCCCGCTTCAACGATATCCTCGGCCGACATTCCCGCAAGCGCTGGGAGCGATTCGTTCACAGTGAGAACCAGCACCTGGTGAGTCCGGAAGCGCTGGATTTCCTCGACAAGCTCCTCCGATACGACCACCAGGAGCGGATGACCGCTCGAGAGGCCATGGAACACCCCTACTTCTTCCCCATCGTGAAGGAGCAGGCTCGGTTGCAGGGTGGGGTGGTGGGCGCACTCACCGGCATCGGAGCGTCGGGATTGATCCCAAATTCCATGGGGGGAGTCCCTCAGTCCCCGATCATGAGTCCAGGGAACAACCCCATCGTCACAGCCAACTCGCAGCAATGAATGCAGCCGCTCTTCTCTATAGATCTCTCTCCTCGGCAGTAAACTCCAAGCTCCCTCAATCGTTATTCAGGGATGTTCGTGCAAAATTGTTCCCTTGCTGAGAAGGAGTCCATCATACTTTAACATATAATCTCTTTTTTTTGCCTTCACCCTGTCCACTTCTTTTTTCTTTCCTGCATTTTTTCCGCTCATAACACGAAGCCATCGCCAGAGGGTAACATGTCATCCAAGTAATTGTAATATTCTGTGTTGGTGACCAGTGCAAATGGATAGTGAAATTCATGGCGAACTTGAGCTCATGCATTGACAATGTTATTTATCTCAGTGATGGTCACTGGCCCGGGGATGATTTTGATCATTTCTTGTTGAATGTTAATTTTTAAGCATAATTGAAAGTTTTTTATCATTCTAAATCTACTGTGATTTTCCAAGAGCAGGTTGGGAATGGCGCTCCGTTGAAGGAGACAGGTACCTGAAATAATAACCAGGAGCCTCGTGTGCTTCATAGGATGCGGGCAGTTCTGTGGGGGGGAGAGAGCGACTCCCCCTGGGGGGAAACGACTCCCCCCGGGAGGGGGACGACACCCCCCGCGTTTGCTCCTGCCACAATCACAGACACATTTTCTTTTGTTGCGTTTGCCTAGGAATGACTGAGAGGAGAGGACTTGTGTTTTTTGTGAACGTCTATGGGCAGCAGTGTCTTTCCAGTGTTTGCATCTCTTGTCATCCTCGTCTCGGTGTTTAGCAACGGAATGGCATGTTGAAGATTCGAAGTTTTTCACTCCCAACGCTGCTCGCCAGATGGATTTCGTTTCGGCCATTGTATGAATAAAATTCATTTCCCACCAGTACCATTCCTCGTGTTTCCTTGTGCATCCGGGAATGTACCATCGGTTTGGCATGTCGTCCGGCGCAGTCGGTCTCCCAACAAAGTCGTGGTGAAAATTAAAGTCCAGTCTGTCCAATGCCGGTCTATAGAATTAGCTTCTTAGAGGATGACCCATGAAAACTGCATTTACTATAGAACTAAACTCCTTATAAAGGACAGGCATATATACATGAAATAACGTATTAAAAAAAAATAAAATTCCATTAATTTTCTTGCAGGTTGACAGAAGTGACTACCCAATGATCCACAGAAAAGGTTTTCATTGCGGAGGAGCACAATAAATAAAGTGACCTGCAAACGTGAAGTGAGATTTCCGGAGCTGTTTCCCTACCCAAGCATTGCTAGCAAATTCAACCATTTCTGGACCGAAGATTCATACAAAAGGAACAGTTTGGCCTAGAATAATATTAATCCCAACCGTGAAAGAACTGCAAACGCAGGAGACAAAGGAACTTATCGACAACGGAGCAATCTACAAAAGTCAACGCTGCGTTCGCCTGCAGACGACCCAATTCTCTTTATTCTGCCGCAAACTTATTTCTTCTGTATGAAATTTCTTCATGCTCCAAAACAGGTTCAATTTGCTGGCGTTGCTCGACTCGGGAAACGCCTCCGAAGATCTCGCCATATGTATTCAGATGTTTTGTTTACATGTACTTCTCTGCGATAAAAACCCTTTCTTCTGTTAGCAACTGAGTCGCCATTTTCATCAATGCATGCCGAAAGGAAAACAAATGCTTTATGAACGCCATGAACATATTTCATGTCTCTGCGCCAAATGGACGAAGTGCAATTCAGTTGTGAAGTTATCATGGCCACCCACGCGACCCAAGCAGGAAGGCACCGGCTGGTACGAAAAAAGAGTTTGTAATTCATGTCGATGGATGGAATAAAATGCAGTGGCACGCCTCGTTAAACTCTTCTTGCCGTTGCTCCGTACCAGATGAGGACAATTGGAGTCTATCTACGCTCAAGTGGATCCTACGAGGAAAAAACAGCATCCGTCGAGTCCTGTTCTCTTCAGGTTCTAGAACTTATTTTCCATCATTCTTCCGTGTTATCATGGCATCACTTTCGCGAAGCGGGGTGGATTGTGTGCCGTCATTAGATAAGAGCGGTATTTCCTCACACGTCAATGAAAGAGCCGGAACTTTATTTCCCATGCACTCGGCAAGCTCGCAGCTGGGAATGCGGACTGGACTGCGCATGCGCGGTGACGCGTCGGGGACTGAGGTAGCCACGTGGTGGCTCTGCGTCGTGATGGTTTCCCCCAGTGGTAAATGCATAGTCATCCTTTTTGTGCCACGTGCAGCGGTGATGGAATTGATCGCTCACCTATCGCGACCGCTGAGACTAGCGAAAGTCTAGAGTATCTTTGATGGGTCTTTGTGGTGGAGTGAGCTGATTAGCATGCTGTCGAGTGCCTAGCCTGTAGGATTTATAAGTGCTTGATACTGAAGTGAACGGGGAGAGGGGGAATTGAACCCGCAACGTTTAACATTGACCCCTAAATCTTAAGCTTTAAGGTCAACTGACGCCCTCACGGAAGGGGTCAGCAGTGGGGGATATGAAGGGAATAGTAACCATGCTGACCTAGATATTACTGAAACTAGGACATCACATGATTCGGTCAATACGTAAGTGTGGGTTGCATGGGATAGCTAGCTAAAACCTAGTTATCCTATGCCTAACATAGGCTTCTGGCTGAGGCAGCATGTACATGTTTTCTTGTTGTCGAGGTAACTTGATGATGGCATCATTGTTTTCACATTCATATTTGAAAATATAAGCCTGATCTTGGGGCATATTAGACCAACCCTTACTGGTAGTTTTTTGGGTATTTATTGCCTTGCTTTGTAGGCCTAAACTTGTACTGTATATAGCTTATACTCCAGAGGCATTCAAACTAGGCTAATTCGTGCATCACTTCTTCAAAGTAGCTCAATTTTCTCGAAAGAATCATGACTGGACCTATAGGTTCTCATGCTGACATGTGAAATTTATAATTCTGCTCTCTCTGTGGACTATGCTCAGGGCTATTATTGGAAAGAAGGACATAGGCATTATAAGCATTCAGGTGCTGGTGATGTACCTTAAAGAGATCTTCCAGAAACCTAATGGAAGTTGTGAAAGAAGGCAGCATGGATGGACTGTTGAGAGGTCTAATGTTAGATGGACATAAGCCGAGCATGGAGCTTCTTGATGGACCACCGAAGGTCAATCGTCAGTTGTCACTCACGCAACGGCGTTCCCACCCTGAGGTCATTCCAATTGATATGAAGGAAGACCAAGGACTTTGGAATGTGCGTGCCATGCTTTTTCTCTGTCTGTGGTACTTCTTCAGCTTTTGTACTCTATTCCTCAATAAGTACATCCTCACTGACATGAAAGGCGATCCAACCATTCTCGGTGAGGTTTATTGTCATCCATTTAGATGTGTTCTTTTATTATTAAATAATTTAATTAGCATGTCTTCTCCTTCAGGGGCTTGTCAGATGCTGATGACCACAACATGTGGGTTCATCCAGCTGTACATACCTTGTGGGATGTACAAGAAAGTCCATCGGATAGGAAAGCCTGTCAAATTCATGAGGAATATGATTCTCGTTGGAAGCATGAGGTTGGCTGCTCTTACATATATTTCTTTTTCTGGTCTCTCCAGAGAAAGGCTTATCAGCTACTGTTATTTCTGTAGACAAGCTATAAAGTTTATGTTTTTTACATTTTCTAGATTTTCCACTGTGGTCCTTGGCTTGGTGGCCTTGAAGTATGTTGCAGTGAGCTTCACGGAAACCATCAAGAGTTCAGCTCCTCTCTTCACTGTTTTCATATCCCGGGCAGTTGTGGGTCAGTGGGCTTGTTGTATTGTTTTCTGGATTGTGTTCTTCCAGGATGATATGTGTGGGCATGGCAGTGCTGTTGTAGTCAGACTTTCATCAAAAGCTTCTTCCTTTTTTATTCAGGCGAGCAGTCAGGGCTTTACGTGATCTCCTCGACAATACCCATCATGGGAGGCTTGATTCTATGCTCAGCAGCTGAGCTCAGCTATGACACAAGGGGCTTCCTTGCTGCAATGGCTGCCAATCTTACTGAATGGCAAGTTTCTCTGTTGTCTTTGCCCCTATGATGAAGGAAGATGTATTTTCTTATTATATGCAACCCTTGTGCTGATGAGCTGCTCTTATGGAGGAGGGAACTAAGATCAACTCATGCATCTAATTCAGTGGATAAGCCTAATGGTCATGGATGAAAATAATGAAAGAAATTAAATATAAGTAAAACATTTATTTAGCCCAGTATTATAAGCCTCCAAGGTGTTTATATTTATACAATAATTTTTTTTTAAATGTTGTTTTATCCAAATAAGAAAAAAAATTTTTTTTGGTGCATATGGGGCACCTTTGTATAATTCCTAATATACTGGGTGTTTCAAAAGTCACCAGCACTGTTCAGATGACAACACCTTGCATACCAATGACCACATTGTTATAAAAAAATTGGCATGCAGACCTATTTGACCGTGGGGAAGACAATGCACAATATAATGACACCACATGGGTATGGATATAAAAGCTATCATTGTGAAAGCTGAAGCAGTATTCAACATGCTAATAAAATGGTTGAGCAGTCTTGTAAGATGTCTCCACTCTGCATTACCAATTCTGTGAAACCATGTTCTCCAGGCTACTTTCAGAGCCTTTGTGATCAACCAACACCTTGAACTACTTTGGCTCTCTGAAACCTTGTTCTTTATTTAATCCTGGCCTGCAAGGTTGCCTGACATCCCAGCAGGTTTGGGCTTTGGGGTTATATGACCAATGGAAAATGCATTGAACATCTATGAGCACTTTCCTTTCCCATAACGAACATGAGTGCATTGCCTTAGATTCTTGTTAAATTGGTCCACACACTGAATTTGGTACCTCTATGTCCAACAATTTGCTCTCCATGGCAGCTTAACAGTAGAGATGACTTCTTGCAACTCTTCAGTATTTGTTCCTATGTGCTTGGATTGATGCAACCAGCATATTCACAGTATTCAAGTTATTCATTAGATGTTAAACATTACACAATGGAATACTTTGATTTAGAGAGTAAGTGGTGAAAAAAAAATACAATTGCTGACAGATAGCAGTAAGTATCAAACTGCAAAGGCAGTGAAGCAGCTGTGATACTAAAACATGAAGTTTGACAACATTCTTCAACTTCATAGTGTCATTAAATAGAAATTAGGCATGTTACACATATTCTACAGAATGTGATAAGGGGTTGAAGTGCATATGAACTCATGAGTTTAATTTATTCTTTTACTTATAGTCTTCAGAACGTGTATTCCAAGATGCTGATCAGTGGGGAAATGTTCAAATACACGTGAGTATCCAATTTCGTTACTTTCTTGCTTCCACAGCAGGAGGTTAGTTGTCAGATGACTTCTTTTGCAGTCCAGCTGAGCTTCAGTTCTACACGAGCATCGCATCCATTGCTGTCCAACTGCCAATGGCCCTGCTGTTCATAGACCTGGAAGGTGTCATTCGGACGACGGATCTTCATCTCTTCCTTGCCTTTTTGCTTAATGGGGTCTTCTTCCATTTCCAGTCAATCACTGCTTATGTCCTCATGGACTACATCAGCCCTGTTACACACAGGTGATTATTTTATGTCTCAGCCATCAACAAAATGTGTATGCCTGGTTTGCAGAGTTTACTGCTAGAGTCATCCATATTCAACTATTTCCTCATGGTGATTATGTGTATTTTCTGAAATTTGTACCTCCTTTCCTTCTTTCAGTGTGGCAAACACAGCAAAGCGAGCCCTGCTGATCTGGCTGTCAGTGTTGACCTTCCACAATGAGGTGACCACTTTGAGTGGGTTGGGAACACTCATTGTGTTCATAGGCGTCGCTCTCTATAATCAGGCGAGGGAATATGAGCGGAAGCTGCGGCTGAGGGAGCAGACAATGGGACACCACCTCTGAAGTCTGGTTACTCTCATTTATTTCTCAGAAGGCATTCAGTTTCTGACCTCCTCTGACTGTACCTTGGAGAGTGAGTTTAGTACTATTTTAAGCGCTTCACCTGTGATATCTGCTCTGAACAACTTTTGCCCCGTTTTTCCATCCCAGGCAAGTTAATAACCTCAATTGGGATGGAAAATGCTTTTTTTTTCTATTGGTGGCAGCTTCCTTGATGTGCATTTAATTTTGAAGCCCTGGGAAGGGCTCTTGAGGAAATATTACCTTGCATAAATATCTCTTCCATATATTTTTTGCATTTCTTTTCTTTTTCAATGTGTCTTCCTTGTCTTCAACTTAAGTACTTTACTCTTGGTTGCCTATGAAAGCCCTGATGCTGGGTTTAAGCATCAATATTTTTGTTACTGTTTGAGTTACCATGGTTTTCATGCATTTTTTTAACTTTTATCTTTGGCTCTTTCACAAAAGATGGGATGACACAAGTTCAGTTCTTTAATTTACCAATCACAGATGGGGGAAGAAGCCTTGGAGATATATAATTCTCCTGAACGTTTGGAAGGAGTGTTCTAGTATTACCCATATTTTCTGCATGTTCTCAGTTTATCCGAGAGCAACCTCATTGTCATTGGCATCTTCTGCAACTGAATTCTGTAAATTGGATATGTACTAAACAGAGTTAACACGTTGACGACCAGCCTATTTTTGCTTGTCCGCCGCATGGGACCATGCGCATTTTTTAAATAAATGTTGAATTTTTTGGTATTTTTTTCAGTAATTACGAATTCATAATCTTCTGGAACGTTCTCAACAGTTCCAGAGGGTATTCATTGAAAAAAAATCTGCTTCCTGGCATCAGGACGCATTGTCGCCAACGTGTTAAAGATGATGCTCTGACCCTTCAGTGTTCCACTGACACGAATCTCTCAGGCAGGGTCTTGTCAGATTATTCCATCTCTGCCCAACTGAGGTCAAGGAGGCGATAAACTGTACAGGTGGAATTCCAGAAATGGGGCCAAGCCTTCAAATTTACAGACAGGTTCTCATTCGTGGTTGGACTTGGCACAGTGGCAATTGATGACCTTGAACAGAAGTTTTTTTATCTCAGAGGTCAATGTGTCGTTGGTGCGATGTCAACTCGGCTTCGCGGCCGAGGCTCTGTCGGCCTCCCAACCTCATTTTTTGTGAACGAGCTTTCTCATTCCATTCACATATAGTTCCATTCAGTTGACCATTCATTGCAGATAAAACTTTTGAAGTCAAGTATGGCTTCACCCCCTTGATCGACTGTGATTCTAGGATGAAAGCTGTTCTATTCTCTTTTTAAATGTGAATCATGCTAAATTTGCCTAGAAGCATATTTATTTCCTTCATTATGTTTTTAATGTTGCACTGGCACCTCTTTCTTTCCTGAATGAAGCACAGGGTTTGAGGTGCACTCTGGCGAAGGTTGTGATTTTTTCCTCATCAAATGTGTCCAATGATTGCTAATTGAAGGTCATATAAAATTATAAATTATTTAATTCCTATGAAAATATTTGTCTTATTATTTCAATGGATGCATGAACCATCAGTCCTTTGAACTAGAGTAAAATTTTCATCAAATGGTTCAGGATCGATGGGAAAAGAAACTTCCCGTTTTCAATTTCGTTAATTTTTTAAATTTAATTTTCGATTAACGGATGGGAATATTGGGGACATGTCTGCACGTCTTTAGGAATTGAAAATAAGCGATTTCACGTGCTTTTTTAAATTTGATTCTTTCTGTTTGTTGGAAAAGAACCGACACGTTCTAGCTTGAAAAGCAATGTAGGCCCATGTGATGTAGCGACAGGTCGTCAGTGATGATATATTGATATATTGAGTCTTATCAGCTTCATCGTATTCTGGTATTAAAACCACTCCGAAAGCTGCGAAAAAAAAGTATGTTGACGCTATGTAAATGCCATGAGGATACTGGGTCTCCATTCATCCCTTTTCGATAGCTTCGGACAAGTCTGGGAAGTGGATAAGTCCAAGATGTGAGGGAAATTGCGAAAAACTCCGTTCGAGTCAGGGAAATGGCCTCGATGGCGTACAAAAACGCAAAAAAAAGGTGTTCAAATGCGTCCACCGACTTATTGAACGTCGTTAGACATCGACCGGCACACAAAAATCGTTCATCGGCTCGACTCGATCCGCGATGTGAAGAATCCGTCGCAAACCGTTGCGGCATCTGGAAGTCATCCGAAACGAACAAGGTTCCAAGAAGAGAAGTGAGATGGCGTTTAAGTCGCCGCCCGGCGCTTCAGTAAAGCGTCCGCCTCGGTGGCGGTCATTCCTGGATGGCGTCAAGAGACCCTTCAAGGGAATTTCACGCATGCCACAAAGGACGTCAAAGTGTATCATTAGTTTTTGGCTCATGACCGAATTTGGAGCATTTCGTTCACCTTTGTAGACCTACAGATAAAGGCCGGCGCTCGAGAGGGTCCAGAGGTGGGCCTAGCGAATTCTCAAGGAGGTAAAGGGACAAACATACCCAAAGCATTTAGAAGTGTTGGGCTTCGACTCGCTCGAGAGGTCAGTGAGAGGAGTTTCATCCACGCATTCAAGATCGAGGGAATCGATAACGTAGAACGTGGTAGGTTTTCCAAGCTCGATGTTAGCAGCAGAACGAGAGGGAACCGAATGAAGTTGCTAGAATCCCAGGTGAGGCACAGTTCGCGATCGATCTTCTTCGTGTATAGGCTAGTGAAGGCGTGGAATGGGTAAAGTGACGATGTAGTGCCCCGTGACTAGCTTCAAGGAGATGCTTCATGCCATCATGGACTGATAATTAAAAAAATCGAGCAACGTCGGCGACGCCCCCACAAAAATATTGTCACGGCTTTGGGCTCTTGGCCTAGCAGTACACGTTGCGGGATGGATGAATCGACAATCCTCAGACAGGTGACATAGGTTTATTTACGAAATGCCAGAAAACGAATGACGTCGGAGCGGGTGTGGTCTTCAAGACGTGGCGGCGAGGGCGTGGTGAGGAGACGAGGTCCCAAAGACCCAGGTGGGCGATGTGACGCGGCGGGCAGATTGAAGACCGTGGGCGGGAGGATGTGGCGGAAGCGCGGCACAGGGAGGGATGTCGCGGTCGGGCCGAATCGTCCGTTTCCGACGTGCTAGGTCGCCGGTCGAACTTCCCTATGGTGATCGCTGGAGGAAATTAGAGGGGGGGGAGAATAACACTCCGTGCAACAACCCGGGGGGGTGGGGCCGGAGTCAGGGGAAGGGGGGGGGAGGGGGTCCTGCGAATGGTTCATCCGTGTGGGGGAAGATGGAGCTGGTGTCTGCGAGGTTTCCAGATGTGCCGTTCGTTGGTTGGACGTTGGCGCCATCTCTCTGTTTTCCGTGAACCTTTTCGCCGGAACGAACGTTGAATTCCTCGACAGTTATTGATTCTATAATGCCCGTACCCCAGCATTCGGTTTATAGCCTCAGACACGTTTTACTAGAACGCTTCGAATGGAATCATCGATGCATCCGAGCGATCGCTGAGTTTTCGTTACGAGAGCCCTCAATCGCACCGCTGCGATCGCTCGACTGCTCCTCTGCGATCGCTCGATTGCTCCTCTGCGACCGTCGAATTGCTTTCCGCGACGAAACCAAGACAATGGGACCGCCTACTTTGCTCTTCGATGGGTCAGACTCGATTGCCCTTGTTCGCGGAAAACTCTGCCGAACGACGGTGGAATCTTTGGAAAAGGCCGATTTCGACTGTGTTCGCTTCCGGTTGCGGTCGAGTTTCTGGTTTCGCTGAATTCGGCGAGCTGAAAATTTGCAGCGATGCACACCACGGACGTGTTACAGATCGTCGCACGTCTGCTCGCCGCTGCCTCGTGCAAAGATCACGAGAGGGGGGGAGGGGGGGGAAGGTGGAGGGGAAGGTGGAGAAGGTGGCTCGACGGTTTGTGAATCTCCGTGCATTCCAAATTCGAGTCCCAGGCGTTTCATCATCAACGGTCAGAAATTGACCGCCATTTGCAGCAGATCGGCCGACTGCCGATTGCCAATTTTTGTATTTACTGCCGGCACCGGCGGCCGAACGGTAACCAGCACGGCCCGACGCGACCTCCTGCACACGATCGAACCGCGTTTAACGATCATATAATAGGAACAATACATGGCGACGCCTTTCGTCGGTTTGGACGGGGGGCGGGATCACGTTGCTCGGGGCCGAACGGTGCGGATGGAAAACCTGCTCCTGCGGGATGGGGTCACACGGGTCAAGCCTCTTTTCTCTCCTTTCCTTTTTCTCTTCTTTTTTTTTTCTCTCGTTTCGTTTCGTTGTGGGAGCGAATGTCTGGAATCCCCGCGACGTGGCCGGCGTCGGCTTCGTCCCTGGAAAAACCAGCATCGACTGCATTTGTTTGAATGCCTCTCGACTTCGACCGGATGCTGTCGTGAACGGTGAGTTACTTTTTTGGGTTCATTCTTCGGTTTCGTCCCGCTTCCCTCTTTCTGTACCACCAGCAATCAGCACAAAAGCCCCCGCAATCTTATTGACGTTCTGTGTTCGTTCTCCCCCTCTTGCCCCCCCTCTGCCCCCCTTCCGCCCCCTTCCCCCCTCTTCGTTGAGCATCTCGTCACTGGCTGATTTGAAAACGGCAGTTAAGTTGCAATTCGGTTCAAGTTTCAGTTGAGACTTCGGACTGACCGAAATTCCATCGTAGTCTCGACGACCGCTCACAACGAAAACCAAAACCAAAACCGGAACCGAACCCCAGTTTTTAAATTGCCAGATCGGCCTATGGCGCTTCCCCTCGGGTTTGCGGGGGACGAGGGGGGGGGGAGGGGGGGGACGAGGGGGGGGGGGGATTTATGGGCCTCGGATTCTCTGACTCGGCATCCCTGATCGCCTGCAATCATTCCAAGAAAAAAAGAAGCCTCGTTCAGCTCGCCTGGCTCGACTTCGTCACCTCGTTGGAAGGGTGCCAATCTCGGCGGAGATGGGAAAATTCGCCTCGCGAACCGCGAAGGTTTTACTTAACTATTATAAGCTCAATTCGTTAGAAGTTATTTTTAATAATTGGGGTGATAGGAAAATAAAAGCTGGGAACGGAGAAAAAAAAGGCGGCTCGGCATTCGCATCGTGGAAATTTCCGGCTGGCTTCTTCAGACTCATTTCTTCATCGACGATTTTCCTCGGCTCTGGACAAGGTCACACTAAGCCTGCAGATGGCGCGTTCAGCACCTCCCAAATACGCCGAG